GTGAGGGAGGGTGAGGGAGGGTGAGGGAAGGTGAGGGAAGGTGAAGTGAGACGGAGGGAGGCGGACGAGGGTACGCACGCATGACGTCCTGATGATATGATAGGCGAGTTTGGGAAAGACAGTTATTAAGCTGGGTTCGGCATTTTTATCACGAAAGTAATCACTTAATTGGGATGGCATGTTAGCGTCGCTGCAAAGTGTTCCAAACACTTGATCTAAGCACAGTCTTTTATCGACAGTCAATTAATACAGCTATTTGCATTCAAGCACAAACCGAAAACATTTTCGCTTTCTTACGTTTGAAATGGGGCGTTTAACGTTGGCAACGAAATGTTTCACTATTCATGTGACGTGTTATGTACAGTGCAAAGCCTTCAGTTGTTTTTTTTATGTTATGATGTGCCTTCGTGTACGTTTCAGTATTTCCAAGCACTACCAAGCACACGATATTGTAAGAGCGACCAAACTTGTTTACATTCATACTTTTTGTGACTAGAACGTATTATCATGGGCACGGAAATATTGAAACGTGCACGGAGGCACATCAAAACATGACAGTTGCGCCAAAAATAGCTGAAGGCTTTGTACTGTGACACGTCATATGAGCGGTGAATACATTTCAGTTTCCAACGGTAAACGCCTCGTTTCAAACGTAAAAAAAGGCGCAAAAATATTTGCGGTTTGTGCTTGAATGAAAATAGCTGTAACATAGATATAAATTTTAACGTTAGTATACGTTGTGAGTTTTGTGAGATATATCGGAAATTTGTCTTGTTGATATCGAAAATGTGTGCTGCAAAATTCATTAACAGTCGTGAAAGGATTTTGCAGCTAGATATATTACGCGGGCGTATACCTTAAAATAGGGCGCCACCGTGGCTTTGCAGGCGAAAATTTCCAGAAGAATTTAGATTAAAACACATTCTCATTCATGCGCATCATCTGCGCATGTGCAGTTTTACAATAGATATTGCGCAAGTCAGAAATTTCGCGTTACACTGGAATCTTTTTCTTGCAACCAAATCTGATCCCCAGACACACACTACACACATATGTAAAGCCAATTAAGTGATGCGTGCTTATGTCAGGATTGACTGATTGAGCGCTCTTCCTCTGTGTACGGAGAAAGCCTGGAATGGGCCTTCGAGTTTGGATTCAAATTTCCGGTTGGAGGTAGCGTTCTTAAACTAAATGGGTAGTCACTAATTAATATATTGTGCAATTTATAATTATGCATGATACATAACTTAATTTACTGGCGAAGTGCGGGCTTTTTAGTGAAGACGTGTGACGCTTTTCGAAAATCGATCCGATCTGTATCACATCTGATCTGTGTCGCGTCTATTCGCATCCGATCTGTATCTGATATACAAACTCTCGCCTTCGGCTCGAGTTTGTATATCATATACAGATCGGCTGCTTATGTTTTATCTAATACATATATATTGCTTTGCATATATTCAATATTAGCTTTTTTGAATGACCAAAATTATACAGCTCATTGCAAAAAAGTGAGTGTTTTGTCAAGGAAAAAGTCAATGATTTTAAGAAGTTAGCAATTAAAAAACGTCTAAAATCCTTTTTACAATTAATACGCTTATAGAATGTACGTCAATATAGTTTACCTATACATTATATGTTTTAGAGTTTGAAAATTCTTTAATTAAAAACATATTTCAACTGATTTTGTAGAAATATATACTGAGAAACAACTAAATTTCATACAGTACCTTATATACTGATAAACAACTGAAAATTTCCGTCTAACCATGACGACAATAAACAAATTATGTATATTCCATCTTACGGTCTGTTTACCAAATGCAGTACTTCATGCAAACACGTTGAATAATTATTCTTTTTCAGCAAATAAGAAAAATACGATAGCTGGACATTCTATCAATTTTTAATAACGAAATAAAGTGTTTTGCAAATACAGTCGTTACGTACAAAATTACGAGGGGTTGCTGCATGCATGCATGTATTTCTAGTAAAGACAAGACTAATGATCCAGTCAAAGGCCGTACTCCAAGCACAAATTTAGCCCGACCACTGCAATCAATACTGTTTAGTAAATCAAATTTCTGAACTAACCTGTTTTACGGGCAAGGCTGGAACATTCATAGTTGTGTTATTCTAAACATATTTGATATTATTGAAGTCACACAGACAGAATAGGCGGAAGCGGAGTATCATACACTTGTGACTTAGCCTGCAACTGTACGTAGGCTTTTAGTGTTATTTTGGCAAACGCCTCTTGAACGGCCAGAATGTGAACGTGTTTCTCTTCGTTCATGGGCGACTTACAAGGCATGCTGGCAAGCGTTTTCTCCCTTCACCTCAACGCCTGTTCGCCGGCTACTTGGGACTAAGTGTCTAAGTGCATGACCACGACTTGATCTACAGTGTTAGGAAACTTAAACTCCCAAGACCTAAAGCACGAGTTGTTGAGTACATGGGTCAGTTAACTCTTAACTATATTTTGGGTAGTTAAGTCGTAGTTAACTGTAAAATGAACTATTCTGATTGGCCAATAATTTCACTAACTATAGTTCATCGTTAACTAAAGTTTATGTGTGAATGGATAATTTAGTTCAGGTAGTTTATCCATTCAAAAAGAAGCAGCTGTTTATTGAAGAATCTGCCTACATTGGTAACCCAACGTTAGAGAGTCAATCGCTTACTATCTTTTTATACCACCGTCCTCTCAAGTTTAAAAAATATTGATATATAGTTACTGGCCTTTCATCGTTATAAAAAAATTCAAAAACGTTATTAGCGCTTGACTTGCGCGCTAAAGCATGAAGCAACTTCGCATTTCAAAGCCGGTAAAAAATACTCGTGAGCATTGTTTATAAAGAGACCACAATTCGATGAAAATAATACAATATTGCAGGTATTATTAATATATCCGGCACCCGACCCTGAAATGCGACGAGTTAACAGCTATATGTATGACCCGCATTACTACTGCATGACTGAATATTGATCGTTCTTTCTGATTGGAATCCGTTCACCTTACATAACAATGTGTCTTTGGGAAACTTTGCATGAAAAAGGAAACAAAAAACAACTAAAGCAGACCAATCTGTAATTTGAACATTTAATTAAAATGAGGAAAAAACCTAAACAACCAATCTACATTTTATTTGCTATTCAAAGAAGTTATTTTTTAAAAAATGAACATACGGTAAATTGACCGAAATGTTCAGTTTGTTGAAATGTGTTTTACAACGAAAACGTGTCGCCTAAAGGTCTTAATAACCACCAAGTGATTTTACAGATTGCGCCAAACTCACTCCTTTCTGTGCGGTGTCCACTGCCCGTTCCCACCTGTTCCAGTCGGTGCATTTAGAGGAAATATCATTGTCTTCGTAGAACGTGAACTTGCCCCATACATGTTCACCACCCCAGAACTGAGGGCCAGATTTCTGGTAGAGAAACGTAGCTTCACACCACCTGCAAGGAGAACCATTTAAGTTGTTATTTCCATGCTTTAGAAATTTCCTACGATCCTGCAGAAAATCCAAGAACGTTCAAAACTATGTGTACCAAGTGCAGGTAATACCGCTCGAACTCTGGTTCAGCCTCTTAAGTTGTGCTATTAGTTATAGTTCTACTTAGATAGTTTTTTAGGTTTGTATGTCCTAAAGGCGGATTTCCAGTCCTCGCACGAAGCTCCTCGCAGCTCGCTGCGAGTGCTTGTATCTAAATAAAATTAACTGTTTAGCATTGTGATTGGAAGAAAGTGCCCATGCATGCACTCGCAGCGAGCTGCGTGGACTGGTAATCCGCCTTAACTCGTGTCCCGCAGTAATGGACCATTTGCATTATAGACTAAATTTTGATCTAAACAAATCTAGACAAAAATATCACAGCTTGAAAGAGCATCACAAAATTAGTAATATTCCAAATTATCGTACGTTGCGAAATGTTGTAAAATGCAGATAATATAGCGTTGCGAAATTTGCAATTTTCAGTCATTTTGTATTACAAACGGGAAATTGATGCCCCAACACCCGATGCGCTGTCAGTCAATTTCCCGCGTGCGTAATACAAAATGACTGAAAAACGGCAAACTTCGCAAGGCCATATTATCCGCATTTTACAACATTTGGCAACGAAACTTTGGAATATCACTAATTTTGTGATGCTCTATCAAGTTGTGATGAAATTTTGGTCTAGATGAAAATTTAGTCTATAATGCAAATGGTCCATAACGTCCATTGGCTCACGCTGTTGCGGTCACCCTGCTTATAGTCATGTGTATTTTTCTTGTCAATTGTCATACTATTATATATTGTAATAAAGCGAAACTAATAAATAAATTAATAAATAAAAAACTTTGGCTCAAACTTGGTATCCAATATTTTGTGACACATTTGTATTATAGCTTTGTCACGAGCATTAGGAAATTATTATGTTTCAAGGCTGGTTTCAATCGTGACGTTTTTTGAAGATGAGTACTCGGACGGAAAAGCTGAAAAAGATTTTATTGTGGGAAATCGTTAACCCCAAGATGCTTTTCGGCTTAAGGCTTTTTATTTAAGGAATTTATTAATATAATATAAGAATTTGGAAAGACTAAACATAAGCATAAACGTTAGAATCTTCTAAAATTTCATATAAGCGCAAGTCACCTTAACAAGCAACTTTAAGCCATACACAAATATTAATTTAGTTTACTTATACATTGCGGAAAAACGTCTGCGCATGGGCGACAACTAAAATTAATTAATGTTTTAAAATTTTATTATCACAAAAAGAACATGCATGACCAATTGATAAATCCTCCATTGAAACAAGTGGAGCAAACCGAAATCACAGAAAAAGGATGGCATAGATCCTAATTTATAACTGTACAACATTTTTAAAGTGGCACTGTCATTGAAAATTTTTATTGTCTCAAACGAACGAATCCTAAAACTGTAAAATAACTTCTCTTGAAAAAATTGGTTCCCATGGTTTGTTCTTGAGATATATCATTTTGTTTGAAACCATGTGACGTCATTTACTCAATTACATATATAATAAGCTATCAGTAAATGATGTGTATCTTTGCTGTTTTTGGAGGATTTGTTTAAAAAAACAGAATGCTTAATAATGCATGTTAAATTAACAAACGCGCCGCATCGATGGAAAGATTTTGATAAAAAGAATAACAAAGATACACAACAATTACTGATGTCTCATTATATATGTAATTGAGTAAATGACGTCACATGGTTACAAACAAAATGAAATATCTGAAGAACTAAGCATGGGAACAAAAATCTTCAAAAGAAGTCACTATACAGTTTTAAGAGCATTTTCGTGTAAGAAAATAAAAATTTTAATGACAGTGCCACTTTAAGTATACAAGGAAATCAAATGAATGAAAAATCTTTTGTTTCAACAAGGGCATGGCCAGAAATCATGGACATGATTATTCTACTTCCTTACTAACTTTGCATATCATTACTGTCGATGCAATGGAAGTGTTGATAAAATATTGCATGAATTCATTTTCTCAAGTCAGTGATCAATTCATACGAATTCAAATTTCTTTTTACTTCCTGTGCGTTTCCTAGTGGTCAATCGGTTCTGAAACGAAATCTAATTGGCTCATCTAAAAGTAACAGGAAGTTGATCAATTTTCTATCAAATGAATTGATCAACATGAGGAAAGGAATTGGTGCAATTTTTTATCAACACTTCCATTGCATCTACAGTAATACATTTCACATTGAAATGTGGCTTCGATAGTAAACAGTAAATTATATTACGCGATGCTGTAAATCCCAAAATCAGAGAATATATTGTAGTCGTTTGCAATTTGCCTCCATTGCTACATGGTTGCTGAGCACGGTCTGTTGAAATATATCGTGCAGTGTTCGCCTGCTGTAAGTTTCTGCTTATTCTGCATTTTCGTTTGTTTCTAGTGGCTATAGTGGATATCTTATATATATAGAGAGTTCAACAGACAAATTCCGTACAAACTAATGTTACTATAACCTCTGTACAAATACTGAAAAAGCAGAATAGTCACTAACTAAAATCAAGTCAACATTACGCTAAATACATCGACAGACTTTGATTTACAGCCAGTGACTGAGGCAAGTTGCAAACGACCTCACCATATTCTCTGATTTTGGGATTTACAGCATCGCGTAATATAATATAATTTACCATCAGTTACTGCAGAAGCCATATTTCAACGTTATATACAAATTATGAAGGAAGTAGAATAAATCATGTCCATGATTGCTGGCCATGATATATCGCTTCGTGAAAAATTATGAAAAATCGATGTTCAAACAGCTAGAAGACTTAAGAGATCTAGCAAAGACTTAAGGGTCTTAATGTGATAAATCTTTCAAATAAATCATAAAATTTAAATAATATTACGCAAAATTTTAGTGATACATATATGCAGAAAAAGTTCTAGGGAAATATATGGGTCGTATATAAACCTAGAAGAAATGTTTGTGAATGGTTCAGTTGGCTTTTATACATAATATAAATTTATCAAACAGTTACCTTTCGTTTACTTTTAGTCTATTATCACAATATTATTCCTTGGCTTGTATACTATAATTTTTTTCATCTTTTTGGGTTGACACACTTAATGTTTTTGGTTGTAATTTTAGCGTACTTCATTCTTGAAATATTGTGACGCATGCTTAATTTATCAAGTATAAACAATGTGGGAAATATTTTTATTATATAGGCCTATATATACCTGTGCTCAGTTCCGCAGCCAGTTCGGAGTTCATCTCCGGGGTTGTCTATGCCTGTTGCCCTAAAGCGAACTTCACGATTGCTGACTGGAAACATAACAGTTACTTGTGGGTTACTGGAAGTCACTTTGACAGAATGATGCTGGTTAAATCGATCAATCCATTTGAACCCTTTGGTTGGTGCTTCACCGCGAAGACGATCTTCGGTGAAAGAGCTTGTGTCAGCAGTAATGCCAGTTTCCTTGATTCTAAGATAGTTTGGGCCTTGATGAGTCATATTTAAAGAAATGGACAGTCTCCCAAATATATACGGTAAAAACTATCAATGAATCTGATCTTTTAAAACAGAAAGCGTAAACTATCCGAGATGTTATTTCATCTACTGTTTTATATATGCTTGAGAGTCATTATTGATGACGTTTTCAGTTTCATTTTAATTTAGTTTTTGCAATCTATTTTTATTTTCAAGGCAGAAGAGTTCTTTGTTATATTAATTAAACTTATTAATCATTCTAGATTAGCTTACGTCTGAATTTCATAATTATTTTACATGCACGCACGCACGCAATTATTTTACACGCAAGCTCAATGCTGCGGCCTTCAAACCATTTATATAATGGCAATATATTAATTCATATAATTATTAATATATGGCGTGTAAAACAGCAGTGTAGTTACATATATATATATATATATATATATATATATATATATATATATATATATATATATATATATATATATATATATATATATATATATATATTTCGCTTTAATACCGCCTCATTTTGACTACTGCATGCTGATCGACGTTTTCAATTTCTTAATGTAGAAACTTCCGCGCTTATTGTTTTGAAATCTATTTTTTTATCAATTCAAGGCGAAAGAGCTTTGTTATGTTAAAGATGATCGGTCTAGATTAGCTTACGTCGGCATCTCATAATTATTTTACATGCACGCAGATCCAGTAATTAATTTAGCTAATTATTTTTATTTCGCATTTTGCCTTTATAAGTTCAATACTGCTGTTTTCAAACCATTTATATAATGTAATATATTCACATAACGTTTAAAATAGCTGTGTATAGCCTTATCTCGCTTTAATACAGCCTCATTTTGACTACTGCATATGCTGCTTGGTTGAATGACGTTTTCAATTTGTTCAAAAACTTCCTCGCTTATATTGTTTTGGAATCTATTTTTATTTTCAAGACGAAAAATTTCTTTGTTATATTAAATTATTTTACTTGCACGCAAATTCAGCTCGTAATTAATTTATTTATTTTATAAGTTTCGCATTTTGTTATTGTTCGATGTTGCGTTTTTCAAGCCATTTATATAATGAAAATAGATTCATATAATTGATTATAACGTTTTGACTATTTTCATTTTGACTATATTGCTACTCGGTTTGGGATGCATTAGGAGATACACTTGTAACAAAATTAGAAGAACTATACAGAACCGAGCGGTCTGAGTCATCACGTGGTTGAGTTGTGATGCCAACGCTTGTGTTCTCTTATTTAAGTCGAATGCAGCTATAGAAATAGAAAACTAAAGGCTCAGTCATGCAGTGAAATTAAAAATAACTAAATGGAAGATGCATGCCTTCATATTTGCCAAGTCGTTTTTCCTATTGGAGGAATTCGTAGACGAATTTCTTCGCTCATTGTTTTGATATATATTTTTATTTTCAAGACGAAAGAGTTATTTGTAATATTAAAGATGACTTGTCTAGATTCATCTTGCGCAGGAACTTCATACTCATTTTATATGCACGTATATAATGATGTCTTTTTAGGTGAGGAGGCGAGCGCTTTAAGGTTCAGTCAGTTGGGGAATGCACAAACCGGAATACATGCACAAGTCATGTAAGAAAATTGCCGTTAAAAGCGTCAGCCGTCTTGAATTTTGATTGGATCAAAATTCAAGACGGCCGACGCTTTTAAAATTTAATAAGTATATGAAATATACGGGCGTTCATTTGGTCCCATATAGTCCATTTAAAGCCAGAATTTCTCGATAATGAGACGATTGTTTGTAGAGCAACAATAATTCAACAAAAAATCCAGCAAAAACACAAAAATCAAGATTTAAGAGTGCACTAATCATGCTTTTAATCGTCAAAGTAGTCACACTTCTTACTCTTAGAATTCCTTAATTCAGGGAAAATTCCTTAGATATTGTTAGTTAAAAGACGTTTTTCTTTACGACAGGGCATTGATGATCTAAGTTTGTTGATTTTTGACATTTGAATATAATTCGTTTTGTTAATTTAAATTTAAAGCGTACTTGAATAGAACATTTTAATAAAAATTACTTTGTAATTTGTAAACAAATTCCTTGAAAATCCGCCTTGCATATTGACCACATAATTATGTAGCTCGGTATTTAGTTCTCAAATTTACGTCAACGCTTTGTTACAACGCTTGGTTACTGTTTAGAGAAGAATTACCTTCTCTTTACTTTGGCACATTTGTTAGAGCATTAAATGATAAACTGGAGCGTCAAATTGGATGCATTTGAATGTGTTTCAGCTTCGCGCGCTTCATTTCATTCTAAGATAATAGTTTCGGCCTCCAAAATCTCGATGTTATTTCATTTACTGCTGTGCTTGCATGAGAGTCATTATTAATGACTTTTCAGTTTGTTCAAAAATTTCCTCGCTCATTGTAAGTTTTTCAATCTATTTTTTATTTTCATTTTCAAGACGAAAAAGTTCTTTGTTTTATTAAACATGACTTATTGTCTTCTAAATTAGTTTACGTCGGAATTTCATAATTATTTTACACGCACGCATATTTTTCTTAAAAGAACAGAGAGCAAAGTAATGTAAAAATCACTAATATTTGGCCGATTTGTCCTGAGTAGTTAGGTATCATTTATCCCACTGATTTTGGTTGATAAATCTAGGTTTGAGTCTTAAAAGTCTGGGCTGGTAAGTAGATAATACAGTATACAAATTACTGCATGGGTGATACGCCGGGGTAAAGATTTTCCTCAGTGCTTCTGTTCTGTACCATCCACGATCGCCCCATCAACTTAAGACCATTCTTTTCTCATAGGAACTGTCAAGAATTGACGCTCGGTTGATATGACTGTATATAAATTAAAAATTGTGCGATATGGGTTGGCGTTAGGGTTAAGGTAGATATTAATATATATTTCGCGTGAGGATATTTAAAGTGTACATTTAATATACTAAAACTGTCTGTACCTGTGTGGGTAATACCAATGTGAAAATGCTATGCTGAGTGGTTATATTACTACCTTTAGTTAAAAAACAAGCAGAACTCGACGTTTCGAGCGAAGGGCCTTCGTATATGGCTACTAACTCTTGACGAAGTGCCTAGCCTTCGCTCGAAACGTCGAGTTTCTGCTTGTTTTTTAAGGTAGTAATATAACCACTCAGCACAGCATTAATACATTTGATAGAATGGCCATCAGCATGAAATTGAGCCCGCAATAGCCTGGCGTTACACTGATCACTGACTATGATCACAGATTGGGCCTTATACAGTCTTACATAATGTATTACAATAAATAACGTTAAAAATTTAATCTCGCCAGACGTATTGTCGAAAGAGTATTCATACAGATTCCTTTCTTAATCTAGATTCCTTTATTCAAGGTTGTTCACGACCTAACCGGACGTACTGCCTCCAGTGTCATCCTGAACTTTTGGCTAGGATATTGCGGCTGAAGGCTGCTCGTTATCAATTCTGGGGCGCAGCTAGACCGATAATTGAGGGGGTGTATATTCATATATACGTGTTCTGCCCGGCGGATTTTTTTTGAAAGCGATTGTATGTGAACATGAATATATGAATATACACCCCCCCCCCCAATTAATATATCGTGTCTAGCTGCGCCCCTGGCTATCAGCATCTGCAGGAATGATATGCTTGTATTCTTCATGTCTATTCTTCCTTCCTCGCTTCCTCTTCTCGAGCCTTCATCTCTATTCTTCCTTCTCCGTTTTTCTTTCTTGAGGTGAAGAACAGCGATCATATGAACAACGTTTATCCTTATTCATAAAGCATAATAATCCGTACGAGTCCTCCATGTTTTAATTTTTCCTTATCCTCAGTCTTCAGCATTCCTTCGTCTTCGTAAGTATAGCCTATTACGAATTCGACGTCTCTCGATTCTTTCTTTTTTCTCAAGGCCACTATAGGCTATTTGACGCATTGCATATAGCAAAATATTTGTCTTCATAACCTATGGAGTTATTATAAACAGGAAGCGGGTAACGGTTGCGAGTATGACTTTCCTCAAAAAATGTTGTCGTAGAAGTCAATATCTTAACTAGAAAATACATGCATGCAGAAACTCTCGCATTACTAACAAAACCATTATGGTTTCTGAATATGAAGTATTGAAAGTAGTTATCATGGTAACACGATAATTTTCAGAATAGTTTTAAAATTTGAAAAAAAGCCTAAAAGGAGCAATTTATTTTTAAAAAAAAATTATGATTGATAAGAGGTAACATCCATACCGAAAACTATGTAACCTAAACGGAAACGATAAGCAAAGAAAACAACCGCCTTGCTCTCCGGGGAACATCTGCCAAGTGTCAATGCCAAATTGCCAATATAATCCCATTTTGCTAAGCCGACATTCTTCAGTTATCAGCAAAAGCTAGCCCAATTTTATTTCAGTTCACTCTGGTTTCAACGGTCTTCGAGACAAGATAAAAGGAAAATTCCACCCACCCTACCCTTTGATGAAGAAGAAGCATCCAATAATCAGGAACTATACTGTAGAACTTAATTAAATATAAGAAATCAATTGTAATCATATCTATATTGTTCTTTTTTATCAACTTGTAAATATTTTTCTACATTCAAGAAGAAATAAAGAAAGCGGGACGGAAAGTGGTGTCCACGCGGCCACACTTCGCCCACTGTGAAGCACACACCGGCAAAAGAGAGCAAGGTCCATAACGGGCGGGGGCCCTTACCCTCGTCCTGATCTTCGCATCTCTCGGTTACTTCACCACGGGGAAGCCCGGCTCGGACATGAGATTCAATGTCCATAACGGTGAGGGCCCTTACTCTCACCCTGATGTTGTTTCTCCAGCTTTTCTGGGGGCCCTTACCCCCAAGAAACTGCACTTTCCGTCACCCAATTTGGCCACAAAGGATTTGCGTGATTTATTAATATCACTTTAATTACAATTAAATGATCAATTTCCCAAACATATATATGCTAGGTATGTCATTGAGTGTGAGTGAGCTTTTGGAATACGGGCGATAAGTTCAGATTGAACTTCCACTCAGTGGTGTAAAGTAACGAAGTAAATGTACTTCGTTACTGTACTTGAGTACTATTTTTGAGAAGTCAGCATGTAACAAAATAAACTTTTTCTGGAGTACTTTTACTCGGAACGAAGTCGGTTTAAGAAGTAACGTTTTACTTCGTTAGAGGCCGATCATAATGTATGTACGACCAAAATTCTACCATAAAATTTGACACCCCCCCCAAAAAAAGCGTCGGAAAATATTTAATACCCCCTCAAAGGAGATTAAATGTTTCGTACCCTCCCTTCCCCCGTACCTAACCAATCACCCTCTCCCCCCAAACATAAAATTCTAAGAACATAACTGATTTGCAAATTATTGCAATCCAATGTCTGTATTGAAATATTTAGCGTAGTCAATAAAGAGAGAGTGTTGAACATGATATCTCACGAGTGAGCGCAGCGAAAAATGCGATATCATATTCAACACAAGAAATAAATCTGGTATTTCCAAGCACCCATGTATTTTTCTGTTTATTATGTAAAGGACACTCTTTGAAAAGCGATAATTTTTACAGAAAAGCGATAATTGAAAAGCAATAATTTTCACATGATTGTGAGATTATCATAAATAATCTCCCAAGTGAGATTATCACTTTTATCAGTGCTCGCCATCTCTATAAAGCATTATACTTTATAATATAATAATACTATTTATGTGCCCTTGCGAAAATCTGGGGCCGATCTAGAAAAAGGAAAAACACTCAAAATTTTAATACCAATTTTTATACAAAAACGGTACCAATTCATTAGTTAAAAAATTGTGAAACAAACAAATTACTCACGAAATTAAATTATTTGCTCTGCAGTTAGTTGCAAATTTCTCCTCCGATATTTTGATTGGATACTAAATATAAACTTTGCTTTGGGTGGAAAGCGATCGGATTAAGTTTTGTGTCAGGCTATATTTCTAAAATAGAGCCTGATCTCTCATATTTGTAGACTTTGGTTATATCTGAACAGAACGTCGTGACGTATTTCATATCTTTCTCAATATTTAAATATTCAAAAAGTAAACGAGCAGGGGAACCACCCGACGGTAAAATAACATAATCAAAGACATGTCAAACTAATAGGTTCCGATCGAGACACTTTCATAAATACTAGTGTGCTACATTGCAATTTACGGCTAGGAACATTTAGGACCATACACTCAATGTTTTTTAATTAAAGTATATTGTATTATAAAAGTCTGTTGTTTTATTAATCAGACATAGCATTCCACTCATTTTTTGTTTCGTACCCCACAAATGTCGTAATTCGTCTCATACCCCCCAAAAGGTTAGATAATCTGTTTCATATACCCCCCAACTTACCCTCCACCACCTTATTATATGGATAATGGTGTTTTACTGGAAAATAAAACACTCGTAGAACTCATACATCATTACATGACAAGCGAGTGACAAGTTTGAAAATATCCCGCCATTTTTATTGTTGTTTTGCAAATACAAATGGTCTTTGGTTCGTATATAAAACGAAATTAACGTTGGAAATAAAACGAAAACATTTAAAAAGCATCTTGAGATAAGTAAAATTTATTCTATGCATTATAATTTAAAATTGTTTCTTATTCTGGTCTTTGGCGTGCTTGTCTGCATGTCGTCTTTGCGTGTATTTTTGTCACTCTGAATAAGACCATATAATAAACAGAATAAATATGTTCTCGTGTCAAAAACGATACCTCACTCGTTCGCTGCGCTCACTCGTGAGATATTGTTTTTGCCACTCGAACATAAAATCCATATCTCGTCGCAACCGTCTAATATCCTCTATTCATGGTGCACGCATATAATGCGTGTGATGTTTTGTGTATTTTGTATGTCAATCAATTGGAGAAGTCCCCCTCGCCAGCCTAGACCTTTACTCGGCTGACTTTGGCAGCTTTGGTCAATTTCGGGGCTAGCATTTGGTGCCCCGTCCCCAAATTGCGTAGGTCCCAGTCTTCTCATGTGAAAAGTTCTGCATATAAAAAATAATAAAAATAGAAGGCCAAGGTCTAAGCTGCCCCCCCCCCCCTTCCCGCTATAGACAATAGTACTTTTACTTTTACTTTGTACTTCAAGTATTTTTTTAAGGACACTTTGTACTTTTTCTAAGTAAGTTTTGCCTCCAGTACTTTTTACTCTTACTCAAACCGTTTTATTGTTAATTACATCTACTTTTACTCGAGTACAAATTCAAAGTAATTTAGGCGCCACTGCTTCCACTCATTGAGTATGAGTGTGAGTGAGCTTTTAGAATACGAGCGACAAAGACTAAAAAACATAGAACTTTCCATGTTTTCAATTTTTACATAGTAAATAAAATACAAGTTGAAAATCGAAATACAACGGTCTGTTGATATAGAGGGCAAACGAACTTTTTATGATGGAACGGCAATGCAAAAAGCTGTCGTCATTCGCGCCACATGGGCTATAACCTGATGCAAACTAACCCAGTATTTTACGAGGAAACATTTTTGTGCTTTATAAATAGAATATTTTAAAAATTTAAACCCCAAATAATATGTCTACCAGTTTGACAACAAAATCCGTTGAATTAGAATACCATGCAAGGAACGCTAGTCTGTAATGCTGTTGTCGAAGTATCCACTTAAAACTAAATATATACAACTGGCGATTTGTTATGCTAAATTTTAATGGTTTTTCGTTTCGGTGGTCTGTTTTTATGAAAGTATCATTTGTAGAATCACATCCTGTATAATTTGAAAGGAAATATTTCTTCCTTTACTGTTAAGATTATAAAAATATTGTTCCTTATATTACAGCTAAGAAACATTTATGAAAGTCATTGCTGTGCCGTTCCAAAATTAAAATAGTTAGTTTGAAGCGCACGTCAGCAAATATACATGCAATCCTAACTGATTTTGTCTAAATTCGTTACGGTTTTGAAAGTTTTTATATCTTTAGCCTACACTTTTAGCTTGAAGATGGATTTATACTCCGAAACGTAGTTATTAATAATTTTAAATATTACTAAGCTTTATGGTCCAATTGTTCAAACACAGAATTATACTAAAATTAAAATAGCTACAAGTCGTCACATAGTTAATAAAGGTCAGATATACAGTAGTTTATCTATACACTGATCGTCTTATCCTTATCCATCATATACTTAATATCTACAGCTCTAATTCCGATCATCTTTTCCATTCCCACTAGCTGTGTCTTATCAATTGGGTATTTCGTCTCAATGTCTCGTTCCAGTCTCCGTGCACGCTGTCTCTCCTCCTTGGTCACGTGGAAAGCCTCGAAAGTTTTCTCGTTGATTTTCGCCATTGACATGCGTGGTAAGTTTTGTAGCTCGTTTGGATTTCTCTCTAAATGATGAAAATATTTAAAAGGTTAAGATTTTTGAACTACAAGTGGCAGTTGGAACTAGATTTCCTTTTTTCGTATAGATATACCATGTACAATTCTAAGCTCGAATCCGTTTATTTTAGTACACCGGAAAGGGTGTTGTCGGATTGTCCCAGTATGGGACAATCCTAGATTACGTTGGGCGTGAAGGACGCAGAAACCATGGGGAATGAAAGAGGCGCCGAAGAAAAGGAGGACGAAACATTTTGCAGAGAACATGCATGGGCCATAATCGAGAAGGAAACTGTTTCTGTGATGCCAAAATACGAATCCTGAAAATTATTTTACTCGTAAAATGAAATATAATAAGAAATAAGCTAAGGTGGGTTTAAAACCAGTCTTATTATAACAATGGCACCTTACATGTTTCAGTGCTATTGTTGGCTGTGATTAGACACGAATTGTTTGTTTTGAAAGGCCTGTTGTTGGCCAGTGGATATATGGGGATGCTTTTATGAAAGCTTGCATGCCCCTGAGTAGCCTAGCTAGTACCTCCTAATATACATCATCCGAACAGCAGCTTGAATCTGCTACACCTTACCTGCCATTCTTTTCAAATCCTTAATAAGTCCTTCCCAGTTTCCTAATGTCGGTTGCGCGTACTTGACTTTCACACACTCTGGTAATGCTTCATTATTTAAGAAGTCTGCACTCATAACACTCGTTCCGGGCATAGTATAATTCTGCGCCAAATAAGATTTGTGGAAGCGATACAAATTGCCTTTGGCTTGCCATTCGTCCCAGGTTTTATCTACGAAGGAGTGAACAGGGAAGAACTCGGGAGCTGCCGCACTGTTTTCGCCAATCATCACGGCGCCGATAGCAAAATGGACCACATCATGTAGGTTGACTCGTAACATCAATTCAAAATCGGAAAAGCTCGTTAAATTTTTGGCCAATGTTTGAAAAACGGCTACCACATTTGGAATCACGCCTTGAGTTGGTATAAAATTTCGTTGAAGGCACCCCCCGTAAGGGATCGTCCAGTTGTTAAGAACGCCAAATAGTCCGGTGCGTACGCACGGGGGGAACCCAATACCGTTTCCACCAAAGCCGTAGGCGTCGTTCCAGAAGTCGCTGTTGAAAGGGTCTGCTGCGACTAGTGACCAGTCCCAATAAGGCACGGTTACTTTGCAGTCTACCTAGGGAGTAAGATTAGGTATATTTAAGTCTGGGTTACACTATCAAATTTTCTGCGATCACAGTAGGAATTTCGCATAGATAAATTATACGTTTTAAAGAATTTGTAACAGGTTTTAAAGGGAACTGAATCAATGTTAAACGGTGAGTCAGTTCTCTGAAAAGTATCTTACAAATTCTTGAAAATGTAGAATTTGCATATGAAAAATTCCTACTGTGATCATAGAGTTTCGATAGCGTACACCAGTCTTTAGAGACAATGTCAAGGAACTTCGGTTGGGAAGGAACTTCGTGCACATCAAATGATGGCCAGATAAATCACGCTATCACGGTTGGTATATATACACGGGTAGCACAGTAGGTTCTCGCAATATTCAAGAACCTAGCATGTGTACAGCCTTGATAGGGTTGAGGATGCACGCCCGCTACCAAGAACCTGACGTCTCTGGTTAGCATAACTTTAACATAACTTTAATTAACTTATAGTTACGATAACTTTAGCCTTAACTTTTAACTTTATTAGAACTCAGAAAGGGTTTTTCAGAACTAATTTACAATAAATAAATATGTGTATAAATAACTAGATATAAAAACCTGGGAGCAAATAAGTGATTTTATCAAGGAATTTCCTCAGTTTCTTCTTAAATGCATGAAGGCTGTAAGCCTTGGTAATGAGTTATATCGGCTAATAGCCCATGTATGTAAACACGTGTCCTGTCCGGGAGCTGATCTGTAACCTTGAATATTCAACCTGTTCTAATTTCTCATATTGCGGTCATGAACGAAAGAATGTTTCACAAAACGATTACTCAATTGACTTGTTTCATTAATTTCATTTGATACGTATATATGTTCCTCAAGAAAACGATCTTTTGGTTGATGTTGACTCTGTTCTTGCACTGAAGAAAACAGCGCTTTTTGCGGTGAAGATTTAGAGGCAGTTGCATGTAAGCCTATTCGAAACACTCTGCAATTTGCAGGGCTTCTCTGAGAGGGCGAAACAGAAGACGCCAATAATTGCCGTTTAAAATGATCTGGACTCTCTCTTTTTCTTTTACCAAATTAAATAACTGAAATACATTCTGGTTTGCTTGCTTTTTCGGAATGCAGCATTTACACATTGTTTCTATTCTGAATTTGCAGAGAAAACCCCGCAACATTTTAATACGAGTTCGTTTACTATTTGGGTTGCTGTCATTGGTTCTTTTTTGACAATTGACGAGCGAATGGTGCGTATTTTAAGAGGGCGTTTTACAAAGCTTTTGGTCTTCCTTGCAGGCCCATTATTCTTCCCTCTGTGAGCCTTGCACTCGACTAAGCAGGAGGCAACATTGAACTAATATAATTTAAGAACATTAGCGATCAAAGGTAAACATGTCAACGGAGAGGTGTAGAATCACCCTGCGAATTCAAGTAGACAGTTTTTCTTGCAATTGTTTGAACGACAAATTAAAGAAAGAAAAATTGGTTTAAGTGATTAATTTAAGTTGCTATAGCGTTATTCTATTAGTTATAAATTCCCCCCAATCTATCCTCGCTTGGTGGTAAGATAAGGAACATCCCATATCGGTCCAATCATACTTTCAAATATGACAAAAGACCAATTTCGTAAAAAAACTCTGATGCTATTATTACCTCACGTAAGAGATTTTCGTACTGTAAAAGGAACCAACGGTGCCAAGGGAGGAAATTGGGTGCCTTATGGATAGGGGTGCGGAAATATTTCCTGTGTATCTCTAGTAATGCTTCATATCTTTTCTTGTATTGCGCCTGAGTGGAGATGGCGAGTACAGCTTGTAAGTAACGAAGACGTTCTTTCTTGGGGATGTGAGTGAATTCTCCTCTCACTCGGTAACAGTTCTTCATCTTCCCAGCGCGGCATGTACACGACTGTTGACATTTGTCAACAACAGTATGGCCCTCTTTGCATTCTGAAAAAATTAAGTAAAAACAATAAGCAATTATTGACACATTCTGCGTCGGGATAAATTGAAGTTGAACTATTAATAACATGTAGCTGGGACTTAAGCCCGGCGCACACTGGAGATATCAGCTGAGCTGAGCGTCACTCGTGACTGTTGGCGTAAGCAATTTCCCCCAGTGTGCGTTGGCGTTTTGAGCGATTTCAGCCACACGTGCCATCGGCACCGAATATTCAACATGTTGAGTAATTTCAGTCACGAATGAACATTTCCTCCAAGTGTGCGCGCTTGAAAAGCTATCACCTTTCATTGTACATCGAATTGGCATGCGTAATAAAACATAAGACGAAAGGAAAATAATTAATGAGGAATATTCATATATCGCTACTCAAGTATCACATTCCTCATTAATTATTTTCCTTTTGTCTTATGTTTTATTACGCATGCCTATTCGATCTTCAACTCTGAATTAGCATATTATTATGTTATAAAAATACACCGGATTATTTAGATATAAACAACAACCAAAAAACCCTGTGGAGTAAACATGTGCGTAGTTTACTCTGCAAATTATTCAACAAAATAGAACGGGCACGATTTGTTTTATACTAAAAATATACATGAAAAATTACTCGATTCTGATTGGCTAAGAGAATTTTCCGAAATACAGTGTCAAAAAAGAAAAAAAGGTGGCATGAGCCAAAACCAAAGACATTTTGATCTTTAAAAGTTTTCACTTTTGACAGTACAAAACTTGTTTTAATATAGGGTATGGGCAATGAAAATTTCTTCATCTATTTTATTGCTTCATCTGAAAGAGCATGAAAAAATAAGCCGATTGGCCGTTTACTGCTCTATTCTATCTCATCCGGTTCCGAAGTTATACGCAAAAATGTGCAAAATATAAATTGCTGATTCAGCACAATGTGTGACGTCATAAGCTGGGTAAGTATGTTTATTGAATAGTAAACTAAAGCATAGCTGAGTTATTATTGGCTCAAATCAAATGAAATTTTGCATACAGATAGTACATGATGAGACGCATGGGAAAATACTTCTAATTTCGTTGTCAAGGCAACACAGTCGTTCCCAGGCCCCTTGTGCCAATTTTATAAAACAGCTTTATTCAAGGTACTGATAAAAATAAAATAATATCAGAAGTATGTGTACGATACCTATGCATGCCGAAAGTTTACTTGCATGATAATAATTCGAAAATGACATACACATAGAGAAATGCAACTAGTTATTCAAAATCAGTGTAAGGGGTCTGGGAACGACTGTGTTGCCTTGACAACGAAATTAGAAGTATTTTCCCATGCGTCTCATCATGTACTATCTGTATGCAAAATTTCATTTGATTTGAGCCAATAATAACTCAGCTATGCTTTAGTTTACTATTCAATAAACATACTTACCCACTTATGACGTCACACATTGTGCTGAATCAGCAATTTATATTTTGCACATTTTTGCGTATAACTTCGGAACCAGATGAGATAGAATAGAGCAGTAAACGGCCAATCGGCTTATTTTTCATGCTCTTTCAGATGAAGCAATAAAATAGATGAAGCAATTTTCATTGCCCATACCCTTTAATGCAACATAAACATGACTTTTATTCGACACTATCTGTGCGAATATTACAGGTATAATAATTTTACACATATTGTTAGATAGCTGGTTAAATCAGCTACATTTTGGTACGAGCTATAATATTGTAGCTAGAATATTTAGCGAGAATTCGTTGCCTAATCGAGGGTGTAAAAATTGCCGTCGGAAAACACATTCTAGTCGGAATTTATTATGTCTGGTTTTAGGCACGAGCTTCAACCGCTTATATTAATTAGACATTTGACGACATAAACCCCTAAGGCTAACGCGGATGATTTGAAAGCTTGTGGAAAAGCTTACATTTTAGTGGGATTTATATTTAGGTTAGTAAAAATTTCGCCGAGAAAACGTTCGCAACAAACTGTTGTCTTGCCACGGAAATTCAAAAATATAATTTTCAAAGTCTCGCCTTGGCATGTAAACACACGCATTTGAAACTTCCAAAATATATAGTTACAAACATTTAACAGGCACAGTTGGAAACGTGTCTTATGAAACGGTCTATTTTCAAAATAATGATTTTCTTAAAAATCCGCCATTGACTTTGCGTCCATCTTGAAAACAGGACATGTCTCCCTCGCTTCTCCCTTCCCTTCCACCCCTGCGCGCGCTTTCCAAATCGCACGTGCTCACAGAGACGACTGGGGACGAGTCAGATATACGAACCCTGATACGAACCCATCCTCGTCCCCAGGCCCAAGCTCGGGCGGCCCTCACAGTGGCCCTGGTTCAGGCTGTTGAGCAGTTGATTGTGATTGGCTCTTTTGCTCTAAAGGAATGTTGCGGGTGGGAAGGAAATGCGGGTTAACAATAAACAATGGCTGGCGCTTAGAGTGGCAATTATTATAAACTGGTATTAAATTATGGTAGAAATCAGATATTTACATGTAAATTTTTGCTTAAACTATGATATGGACAAATTCAAGACTGCTGGAAACCAACCACATGGATATTTGAAGGATTAAATACATTTGAAACGAATTGAATGATAAAGTTCAAGACTCGGATATCAGTCACATTCACGACTATGGAAATTAATATATATTGTGTACGCAGATGTTACAAGATTATTGTGTAAATTGTCGCCCTCCACCTATCTGTTTGCATCAACGCAATTTTATACATTGTATTTGACAATTTGAAGAGTCTAATTTAGAATGTAATCTACGAAAATTTAATATTTATCAAGTATGTTTCGCTCGCTACTCTGGTTTAAATAAATGATTACAAAGCCCAGTCGAATTGTAATCAAGACCCAACGTTTCGACACTCCAGTCTAGTGTCTTCATCAGGGGTGATCTAAAACTGCGATCGTGGCTTCTTAAATACCCAAGGGATGACGTCACCTGCCAAGAAGATGCATATATTCTTCTGGCAAATAGGCGCCGTCATCCCTATTCAAGGCATGATGACTCATATTTATATGCCACGCTTCTAGGCAAAGTCTTTGACCATAGCGATTGTTTGTGGTAATTACTTTAGAGTTTCCCCTATTTGACCTTAGGCCATATTTTCGCAAAGCCAAAAGATCCTGTTGAAAAATATCAGAAGACTCATGCTATATATTCTATACCATGCGGTGACTGCGATAAAGAGTATTTGGGTCAGTCTAAACGCCAGTTTGGTACACGGCTAAAAGAACATCAAAAGGCTGTTTCAACTTTAGACAAGGGAAAATCAGCTTTAGCCGAACATGTATGTTACACCAAACACGAGATTGCGTGGGAAAACTCTAAAGTAATTACCACAAACAATCGCTATGGTCAAAGACTTTGCCTAGAAGCGTGGCATATAAATATGAGTCATCATGCTTTGAATAGGGATGACGGCGCCTATTTGCCAGAAGAATATATGCATCTTCTTGGCAGGTGACGTCATCCCTTGGGTATTTAAGAAGCCACGATCGCAGTTTTAGATCACCCCTGATGAAGACACTAGACTGGAGTGTCGAAACGTTGGGTCTTGATTACAATTCGACTGGGCTTTGTAATCATTTATTTAAACCAGAGTAGCGAGCGAAACATGATTGATATACCTGGTTGCAGTGAACGAACAAACTTTATATTTATCAAGTACTTGATACATAAAGTTAATGGAAGCATTTTGTTCTGTTTGCACAATCACAATGCACAGTTCACAATGGAACCAGTGTTGTTTGAGAACCCCAAGCTCGATTGTTTAATACCCAAGGTGAAAAGCTGGCTTTTCACACACAAAATGTTGAAGGGATTTTGTAGATGGAATTAAATTATTTGTCCAAACTATTGAATAAATTTATCAAAACTAGAATACAATCAGTAACAATTCATGATTATATTTAAGTAATTTAACCAGTTATGTGTCAAGTCTAAGCTTATTTCACCATAAAAAGCATTTTAGCTACCTGTTGCTAAAGTTTGTTTAATTTAACACAGTCACTGAAACATTTTATTAATAAATACACCCTTCTGGAAAGTACATCACTTTGACTGTTCAGGTTTTGCAGTATGACATATCATCTTATAGGAATTCCTATAGGAAATTTATCCTAATTTCCTATAGGAATAGTAAATGACACACAATGTTGTTCATCACTCTTAATTTTTTAATGCAAAAAATATATATATATATATAAATATTAAAAAATACATATATTACAAATTAATATAAATATTTATACGAGAAATTGGTTATACTAAACATTACAGATCAATTATAGTTTTCACCTATGGTTTAATAACAAGTCAAAACAAAAACATAACCTAAAGAAAACCATTGCAATCAATTATATGTACACAAGCAGCATATTTATTGACCTTTGTTATTAAACCATAGGTAATGACCATAATTGACATGTAAAGTTAATTACATTAACCCATTAAGCTGCAGAGCTTCCCCATTGACGAGTAAAATCTTCTGGCGCTAGACAAGTAAAAAATAAAAAGGGCGCACTAGGGCACATTGCGGCTCAATGGGTTAACTACAGACATTGGCAGTTTTTTTATCAACCCATTGAGCTGCAGAGCTTTGTGGGCTATCCCCATTGACGAGTTAAACCGTCTGGTGTTAGACAAGTAAAAAAATAAGTAGGGCACACTCAGGGACGTACACAACCGGGGGGTGGGGGCAACTGCCCCCCCCCCAGAGAAAACTATATTTACGATTTTTAGAATGTCATTGTTAATTATTCTTTGGATATTTGGGACTTTTTTCGGCATATAGGCCTTACTGCCCCTCTGGTGAAAAAATCCTGCATACGGCCCTGGGCGCATTGTGGCTCAATGGGTTAAAATTTGCCTTGAGCAAAACATAGTCCTCAAATAAGTTATTGACTACTCTAGTTAAAAACAAGCAACAAGTCACTTGTAACATTACTCAATAAATATTTTTATATACTAAATGTTTTTTGAATATGCCCCTTTTGCAAATTATTTGCTGGGCAATAATATTTTTAATAACTAGCCTGGTGTTTCTGTTTTTTACTATTGTTCTTGTTTGCCTTTCTGCACTTTGCAACACTTTACAGTGTTGTTTTTGTCCTCATGTGTTGGCGAACCTCTGAGGCCTTACATCCATACTTTGTTGATACATACTGTAAGCTATAAAAAGACAAATAAATTTATTTAATAATGCATACATTTTGATACAGCTGCTAACAGAAAAATAAGGGAAACATTTCCCCAAGACCCTAACATGGCAAGTACACTTAATAGTGATTGCTTAATGCTAATTATATTTTCAATAAACTTTCCAACCAGTTGGTTTTTAGGCAAGGGGTCTATTTACCGTCTATACATATTATGTATCACTTCCTATGTATTATATACAAAAATAGCAAAATGAAGTATTTTTAATAGGACCCACCTTTCAATGGCTTTCATTTCTTGATCATGATCATCATAACCTGAAGTTCAGGCCCTAATTCGAAATAGGGCCTGACACAAAACCTGTCTAGACCGTGAGACGCCCACATATTATTTTTAGACACACATGCAATATGATTGACAAGTGTTGTAGATTTCGTTACACAAAAAAATTATATTCTCATGAACATGTCCGCAGGGCATTTTGCTTTTTAATTAAAGTAACTTAAAAATTCAAGGTACTTTTATATAATTAAGAGTCAGTTTCTCTATTTAACCGAACAGGCGAACAGCAAACAAAGATTTAATTAGTCAGTTCTGTTCACGGCTTGACTGCCAAGCTTTCTCAAGGTCTCAACTTGCTGGACGCGGATATACTCTAACAACTATAAACGGGCTAATAACAGCAACAATTAAATTCTCAATCATACCATGAAGAAGGCGATGTAGCTCAGAAAACAACGCCGGTAGGATCTGATATTAAAAATAAGACTTTTGCCGGCGAAGCAAGTTGGCAGAACATCTTGGCTGTCAACAACAAGCTTTCGAATACAGGACTAGTTTGGCTGTTCTTTCAGCGTCGTGTGTGTCCAAAATTCGTCAAAGATTTTGATGAAGCCCTTTCAAAATACTGTTTGTTTGATTTATTTTTCTTCCATAAAGCATAAAAGAAAAGAAATTCGAAGAAATCGATAATGGAATTTGTTACGTGCGTTTGACCTTTATATTAATTCTCGCCTTGACCGAGCTATTTTTAAAACTGTTGTTTATGTGAACTTGCAACCAATCAAAATCCTTCATGATTCTGATCAACCAATCAGATTTCCCGTCCACCAGGTGGACGGGAATCCCACACTTTAGATAGGTTTTGTGTCAGGCCCTATTCTGTGATAGGGCCTGAACTTCAGGTTATGATCATCATGGCGTAAAACAACTGCCTTAACACCCATGTCAGTTTTTAGCTTGTCTATTTGGTCGCCCACCAGTGCATTTAATGGGGAAATCACGATTACAATTGTTTCTGGCAAGTGGCAACACGGCAGAAATATTTCTTTTTCTCGAATTAATGTAGTCGAACATGGACGGTAAAAGTTGGTATATCAACGATTTAACATCCCTTCCATTTACTATTTGACGAGAATCTTCCTTTAACTTAATTCGAGTATTATTTGTTTTTGCAAGTGCAAAATATATTGCTTCTGCCTTCCTCGTACAGTTGCATTCATTGCGGTCGCCATGTTTTTAGGGAGAAAGGCATATGCTGTGCGACCAAGCCTCTGCGTCGGAATTCCGACGCAGATCAACAGCCTGAACCAGGGCCACTGTGAGGGCCGCCCGAGCTTGGGCCTGGGGACGAGGATGGTTTCACCCATAGATATAGGAGATATAGATCGCCGACTCCTATTCTGAAGACTAGAAACGAGACGTGACCAAAATTTAAAATCCAAGATGGCGGAACAAGCGGGCAAAAAACGCAAGTGACATAGGAAAACTAGGTAAATATGGGTATTTTCAAGCACTTATTGTGGAAAATCTACAAGGAATTTTGCTACGATTTTGGTTTTATTTAAAAAATATTATCTTTATTAACGTCATTCAAGGATTCAGTGTGTTTTTTTTTGCTTTTATATCTCGAAATATTCAGCTGAAATGTGTCGAGTTATTCAACCACATGGACATAATTTTATGCTGCCGAATCCAATGTTAATCATTACCAAAGAGGATTAGTTTGTTAATTTTTTGTCTCTCTGATGGCTTTTCATCTCGAACTATTTTCTCCGAATGGATCTTTCCGAAGTGGTAGACAAATATCTTGGCCTAGAGGTCTGAAATGGAGTGGATTCAGATTGCAATATGGTCATCTCGTAAATTTTAGTCAAGAATATGGCATTCTCATGAGTACTGCCCCAAGGACGTGAATGTAGATGGCTTGGTCTCCGGCAGAACTTGCTGTTTAATCACTTGGAGGGATTCTTTCTTCATTAAATGCCACTGATGGAGTCTTTCACGAGGGATTTTATCTGTGACTTGGACTATTTTCACAGCTGATGGCGAAAGAACTATTAAGTGCCATATAACTCTTGAGCGAAATTAAGTAGTTGGAGCTGTTTGGGGATGTACAGGGGTAGGATGACTGATCTGGTAGTATATTTTGATCTTAAGCCACCAAGGCATCAAACACATTCAACACATTTTATGGATGAAAGAAATTGCTACACTATGAACCCTCTAATGTAACCAAACACTATACTGGAGAGCTGTCAAGCATTCCCACAATTATCTTGTCAGGTTCAAGCTCTTTCTCCGGTTTGTCACAGTGTTCTGTTCATAATGCCGATTCAAATTGTAATATTATGGGATTGTTATTCTGGACAGTGAATGCTGGATAATCCAAGTGGGGGCATTTGTACACAATTTAAGACCTAACTAGGAACAGTTGCAAAAAGTACAACACTAGGTCCTCTGGCAGGAATCAAACCTGTCACCTTAGGTCTTAAACTGTGTATATATATATATGCTTGCTTGGATTATCCACTAAACCCAACATTCTAGTTCAACCAAGTGAAGTGCAAAACACATCTTTCAAGTTTACCTTATCAAAATCCACACACCTGAAAATCTATATATAACTGAACATGAACTTGTGGTTGCAGCTTGGCAACTGGCCCATGCAGCTTATGTATCTATCAATGTTAAGCCGGGGGGGGGGGGCATGGGGTTGGGATTTGACATTTTCCTGAAAAAAATTGTCAAAATCCACACCCCAGGGACACCACCATTGTTCAAAAAATGGTAATACTCCCTACCTGAGGAAATCAATATTGGGTCAAAAAACAGTAATATTTCCCCCATCTGGGGGTTGGGAAAATTTGTTATATTGCATTCATGATCAAACTAATAACCCAAATTGTTGTACTTCAACAAAGCAGACTATTAAATTGCCTGTTCCAACAATCTAAGTATAGGCCAGTGACATGGACTCATTCCCACTATTTGTGTTTGAATAAAAAATATTCAAAATTGCCTGGCCAAGGGCTGCCTTGAAAGATCAAATGTCCACACCCAGGGTCGCCGAGAGGGGGCCAGGGGGAGGGGGGGGGGGGAATTGCCCCAGGCCCCCACCATAATAGGGCCCCAACTTGAGAGGAAGAGCCTAAAATTGAGTAGTTTCTTTAAATTGGTCAGAGCATTCTTGAAATTGAGAGCCCCTTACAGTACCTCCACATGCAGTCTAGCTAAGGTCTAGTTGGGTCTAGCTTAAAAATAATGTCATGGGGCCCCCAGGGAAGATTTGTCTGAGGCCCTACATATTCTCTCGGTGGCCCTGTCCAGTGCCGCCCAGAGGGGGGGCAAAGGGGGCAATTTGCCCCGGGCCCCGAGTTGCTGGGGGCCCCTGAAAAATTTTTGTAGGGGCCCCGCCTTTTTTGTTTGTTAAATATTTCCGCGCAAAGGACAAGATATCTGTTTTCTTGGGCTAAGTACCGAATTTTGGCCTAAAAAAATGAGATAAAGACCCTCGAAAGCGTTTGCAACGTATTCGTCCGGCAAAATTTTGCGTCCGAAAAATTTTTTTACCCCTAAAATGGTACACTGACCGAAAATTTTTTGGCGACGGGGGGGGGGAGGTCGCCAGAATAATATCCGGAAAAATTTTTTCCGGAAAATTTTTTTTAGATAGGGCCCCTTAACAAAAATTTGCCCCGGGCCCCCGCCAACCTCTGGGCGGCCCTGGCCCTGTCCACACCGCAGGGTGATCTTGCAACATCAAAATCCTCCCCGTCGGGCAAGCAAAGTTGTTCAAATCTCTACCCCTTGCCTCCCCAGGCTTAACATTGAAAGGTGCATTAGTTGGTTAGAGTGCTACACTAGAATTGCAGGGCCACAGGTTCGATTCCTGGAAGAGGACCTAGTGTTCTCAACCGTTCCTGGTTACAGTAGGTCTTAAATTGTGTATGCATATGCCCCCACTTGGATTATGCACTATTATGCCAAAAGGGTTAAATTGACAAATGTTTGCAGTTATGATTTGCATGTGAAATTATCTGTCATGTAGCCTAGGTTGGCATATTTTTATATAAGGATGCATTTTAAAATATATTTGAATTTTGTAGCTGAAGTTGCTTATTTCATAT